AGGTGTTTTTTTTAAAGCTACCTGTGATCATTATGTATTAAAATAAAAAAAAACGCAAATTGTAAAGACAGAGAGTTTAACAGAAGTAACATTAAGCGTATAAGGTTTAATATATACGTTATGTAGTTATTGATATATAAGTGACATTTTAACCATACAACCAATGTAAAAAATGTAAATTAATAATAATAAGAATTTACATAAAAAACAATTTTGCTCTGTTTCATTTATATACGCAGTCATACACACATTAGATATGAACTATAAAGATATATATTAAGAAGTCTGTAATTGTTTTTTCCATTTTCTTTTTAGGTTACTCTATCATTACTTTATTCGTTATATTCTTTTTATTTATTATATTATTTATACTGCATCACGGCAAAGTAGTACGACCATACTTCGATGAAGTGTATACAAACAGGACGGCAGCATACAATAAAGCGGAGGATTAACTCGAAGGATGAGGTATCTCAACAGCATCGCTACGAAGATCGAGGAACACCGAACTGTCCTCGACTTCGGAATGCGAAGACTGGTTTCAACGCAATACTTGGTGGCCACCCGTTCATCCGCTACAAAACAATTATGGCAGAAAATTAGCGGAGAATCTCCAACGCGCGGTGGAGATCGAAGTGGATGTGATCTGCAACGGAAATCCCGCCAACATAATAAAATTCGTTAAGTGAATTTACGACAAAAGACGGGCAGATGGTTGCATAAATCGTATATTTCTGCTATACGATTATCTCCACATCTTGGAAATCTTTAAAAATAAATTGGGTACTTCAAGGTCTTACCAAGCCGAATGCGACGAAAGCGTATTCTCCAAACTCTCGCAAATGAAGGCGCCCAGCCCTGGATTCTGGGCGCGGAGAGGCTGCGTACCATCAAATTCCTTACCACGGGCGATAACTGCTATCATAGAGTTTTCCAATAATATCATTTCAGCGGCAATCAATTAAAATGTCATAAACACAATACTCACGAGGTTCGCGAACATATGCCATCGTAATCCCATATTTACCCCCACTGGGAGGAGCTCAAAGTCGAACTACAAGATGTAAGTAGTTATTTGGAGTTAAATTTAATGGCAGATCTCCTATCGGTGGACATACGATTAACTATACAAAATTTCATCCACTTACTGGACGAGCTGGTGCAGGCTTACCCTAGCGAAACTATCGAGCCACTTAGGGTAAGCCAGGACCTAGTGGAACGATTCTTCTACAAGATGGCACTTCGCAGAAGAAGGACGAAGTCATCGGTTGAAATTTTGGAGCTAATTGAAAGGCCGATGAATCTTCAGGCCACAAAATGGGCAAGCAAGGCCGAAGAAGAGTTCACACCGTTTAGCCTCGATGTGGAAGTCTTCAAGTAATTCGGTATAGGTATGCGTCAGATCACAAGATACGGAATCCCGGGCTACATCCGTGAACAGCTGAATTACCACTTATGCTTACGTGACCTAAGAAGAAGATGACATTTATGAAGAGGTCAAATAGTTGGAAAGGACCTGAAAGACAATTTGACCCTCAGTAGCAAGTATTTAAAGGCGGAATTTGCGACACCAGAGGTCCACAAAGCGTTCCAGCAAGCCTACGACGCGTCGATGAAGCAACATAAGGTGGAACGGGACATCAGCAAGCGCGCACAGGCACCTGTGGTGGCATGGCTTGTTTGACATGTTTCCTCATTCTAAGGTAAATATAACATTATACAGGTATATTTATGTATTACTTATGTACTTTGTTCTATTTTAGAATGCCGCCCATCACACGGAAAAGGATAAATCATGGTATATTTATAAATTGCTTATTTACTTTCTTCTATTTTAGATTACAATAAAAATGAAATACAACTCTCCTTCCACGGCCTCATCACAATGAATGAATGATTCGCTGTACGTCAAGGTAAGTTGTGTTTATCTGTACTTATGATTATGTATAATTTATTCATTTTGTTTCATTTCATTTTAGATTAACAAACAAACAAACGCCTTCACTTTCGCTTCAGCAAAATGCGATACTTCCACAGGCCAATAGTAAGTTTATGGCCATTTTTATATAATAAATTCAGTAATCACAATATCTTTCTTTTCCAAATATCTACACACTGCCACAGCGATCCTGATGTATTTCTATATATATATATGTACTTTTTATGTACTTATGTATTATGTATATATATTATCAATAAACGGGGCTTATATTTATTTATTATTATTATTAAATATATTATATTCTTAGGGAAATCCCAAATCTGTTCATTCCAGCTAAATAATAAAATCCCTAAAGAGGGAAAAACTAAATACACATTGGTAGCATGGAGCTGCCGGCCGAAGAGAACGAGCACTAGAAAAGCAGGTTAACGAATTAATAATAAAACTATAAAATAATAAATTGCGAATAATCCTACATTTAAAGAAATATAGTTGTAACTAAAAGAACTTTGAAGTCTATTTCTCTTGACCAAACTGTCCGCGATCCAGTGATACGAACTGTATCTTAGAAAAGGGAAATTTTTAACAATATATTAAGTTTATAACGGTGTAGGCCTACAGGGGAGGCAGCCATCGAAACAATTGGGTGGTGTAAAAAACCGTGCCAGATAACATAATTTAGCGTGGTCCTGTAACCAATCGCGAGACAAATAACTTCAAACCGTTGGGTCATTTCATAATGGAAAATACAAGCAATTTGATGATCAAATTGTTACGGTAAAAAAAACCTCCGCCTAGAAAATATATAGTACTAACGTCTGTCTTCTTTCATAACCGTGTAGATAAGATTCGCGACTACCAAGTTGGTGTGCTTGCGGATTCAAATCCGAGTGTGGCTTAATAGTACTTGCTCCTAGCACAGAATTGCAAGAAAAATGAATGACCTAAAATATCACAAAAAAAATTTTACATTGATGTTCAAAGCCCGCAGAAATTCTTTCTCTTGTTAGGATTGTGAAGATTAGGATACCTTTGGGTACAGTGACAAAAAATGTTTTGCACCATTTTTAAAGGTAATTAATTGATTAGAACATAAGGTATGAGATTGCTTAAAGTATTCTTTCAGTTGTAAAGTCAATGGAGTTCCACTGACACGTGCGCCCGCGGACTATTGTTATGAGCGTCATAATCACATAGCAGCTGTTAATGCCTTATTGCAAACCACGTTCCGAGCAAAGTAATGTAATGGCCGTTCTTCAAAAAAAAAAACTAGCATATTATATGATAGCAAAAGAAAACGATCTTAGAAAACCTTGAGATTCTTTTCAGACCTGCGTGTATTTTTTACTAGGAAGCTGTCTATATATGTTCACTCGTAATCAGTATTACATTGGAATATATTCAATGTGTCAACCCTTCACGCATTTCTCGCACATTAACGATTACGTTGAAATTATTTGAACGTTTATCGGCATCTACTGATATCAAATTTTCTGTATTCAAAAATGAAATTTTCGGCTAGTTTTTTTAAGAAGGCAACGTTGTACCTATGGGTACTTACAAGCGTGTTGGGCGTTTTTAATTCCCATACCGTCAAGTTGCCATCCAACATGAGCTCGAAAATCATGAAGTCGTGATGATGGTATTCTTCCAATCCTTCATAACATGTTTCTGAATTAGACGAACAGCATCTTTGGGAGGGTACGTGACAGTCCGGGAATATATTTGATTTCTCGCAAGAAACCGTTAGTTTTCTTTTCTTCACACTAAAGAATTGCTCAATTTATTTGAACAAATTTTCCTTTTTTCACCTTCAAAAACTTGCATTGTAAAATGATTGAAATGTGTTTGATTTCTTGCAATAAACCGTTAGCTGGTTTTCTTTTCTTTCCGTGTTGAAAAAAAATACCATATGTTGACAATAGAGAGAACAGAGTTGTTAAAGAAATGAAGCACTATGTCAAGTGCTTAGCCTCTGTCATCAAATGAAGAAAAAGAAGAACCACTTCATGTGCTCACAGTTTCATTTCTGTAAAAGGTATCTCGTGGACCCTGATTTTGATGGGCATAAGGAACTAAGCCAACTCATCTTAGAGAGTTTTGAATAGAGAGGGCTAAATTGCCTCAGAATCTTATAGTTTTTTTATAAGCATGGTTTTTCAAAGCTTCGCTTTCTTCGTTTCTTTTCTTCCAAAATATAGAAGATTCGCCCATGCTAGATAACATTTTTCTAATAAATAAGCAGAAATACCTCACGAATAGGCAGCGCATAAGTTAAGGAACAAATGCATGGCAAATGCATTTTATATTAAAATTTATTACAAATATAAAACCTTGCCATTTATTGAAAGCTACTCCATTCTCTCCATATTAATTAAAAAATTAATAGCTACTATTGTAAATAAGAATTAAGTTAATTATATTTAAACTTACCTATAAAACATATGTTGGTCAACAAAAATGTGTAATTAGTGTTAGTATTACTAAATTTAAGAAATCCTAAAGAAAAAGCGAATTGTATTTTATACGTTTGAATAAGCGCTTTAGCAATAACAAGTTTTTGTAAATTAGTGAACTGCTTAGCTAACCTTTAAAAAAATATCTATGGATCTCTTTGTTGGCGATAAATTATTAGTAAGTTACTTATTTTTGATATTAGATACATTGGAAAAGTATTTTGTGAAATATGAGCCGTCACGAAAAGAACAATGTGTTTAATAAAAAAGATTGAATAGAGGATTAGGAGTATTATGGACGAACAACTTGTGCAACAAAAATCGAGAATACCAATCAACATAAGGGTATAACGGCATATGCTTAAACAGAAATTATTGCTGATCAAAAATACACATATATTGTGGGGCATCTAAAGCTTTCTTCTGGGCGTTGCACACATTTTGACAAAATGAACAAACCCGTCATCCTTCGTTGATGGGTGTAAAAATAGTGTTTAGGGGCTGCATTCACGTCAACATTCTATCATGTAGAGGAGAATAAAAACAAACATGCAAAATTAAAGTTTACATCTTTTATTGCAGTATGGTCGCACTTCACAGAATCAATTAGAATGTGTTTTTAAAAGAATTTGAATTGCTTGTTTGACCAGCACAAATGACTTAACTAGCTTCAGCATATCATCTAACGGCATGCGAAAGCTTTCTATCAAAAATGCTTTATCTTCATAAAATTCTTTAGCGTCGTTTAACCGTTTTTTGATTGATTCCAACGATATATACTCTTGGTTGGATAATTCGACTTCGGTACCCAGTAGTATTGACAGTAGGCTGTGGTTCTCATCAGACAGTTTAGATTTACATTTAAATGTTCGGTGAGTGTTTCTTAAAGTTACCACCGAATGGCTTACATCGCTTGCACTAGGCTCTAATGAAAATTCATCTACATCTTGGAAACACCGTCGTGGAGTTTCGGTTGTAAAATCTGTATGTTCTATTGTTTCTTCAGGCAAATCAATTATTTTAAATCCTTCTTTTAACTTATTGAATTTGGGATGAAGTTCAAGTAATCGGAGTAAGGTTTTCTTTTCGATTGGAAGTTCAAAATTATAAATCCTAGGCAAAACTTTACCGAGAAAGTAAGAGCTTAGTTTCTGAGCTGTGTAATCGCTATATTTGCAATAGTTTTGTAAATTCGAAGAATGGAAATTGTTCCAAACGTTCGGATCATGCAAAAAAAATATTCGATCCGAAGTCAAAATATAGTTAATTAAAGCATACTCCAATTCCGTTTTGGAAGGAATTATCTCTCCCTCGGTATCATTTTCTTCTGCGCTATACCCGTTACTCGAATTTTCCATACTGCTTAGATTCATCAAAGGTACATAAGAAATAAGAACTAAGATATATATATCAGTATACATATAGTTAATTCTAATCGAATGCTTACCTTGCACACACGTACAGTATGTTCTATAAGTGTTAGAATATATTTTCCGATTCAATTATTTTATTATTACAAAAAAACACGTCCAACATCAGAAAAGCCGATTTTACGTCGTCGAATAGTTTTTTAAGAAACTAAAATGGCGAAAGGATAAGAATTCGAGATGGTTGCACTTAACAATTACAAAAATGTTCTTTCCAGATAAGCGTTTTTCTATACAAGCAAAACTCTTCTCCAAATGTTTTTCGAAGCGCTTCACTTTAAAAAATGTAATAATATGATTGAACTGAGTCACGCTTCTTATCCGGACACATATATCTTATTGGCTTAGTCCACTCGACATCAACATCAAACAAAAGAACTAAATTAACTTAAAACTTTGAATTAAGTTGGATGTTTTTGTTTTAGGGCTTACCATAACTTCAAATTTGCGGTTTTTTTTTGATAAATGAGCGATACTTGCAGCTAGTTACCTTCATTTTCTTAACGACCAAAATCTAACATATGTTTGGTGACAAATAAAACCATTTTTTCTGTCATTTTTACTACATTCAAGTAGATTAAAAAGGAATGAATTCCTTACAATTAACAATAATGTCACTATGGATACTCATTGCTTTTCTGTACTCTAATGTCCACTTGTTTTGTTTTTGATCCTCTACACTTTTCAGGCGAATGCTGCCACGAAATTTCGAAGAGTGGAAGAAGAAGAAACACAGTAAATAAATGCATACAATCATGGTGGATCGTTGTATAAATCTGCGAAAGCAGATCTGCTATCGATGTGAAATTAATAGAATGTATTTAAGAAAATGTCATTTTGCAATGAAGATATCTAAACAAGGAAAATGTAAAATTTAAAAAAAAAAAAAAAAAAAGAAAATGTCATTTGCTTAGTTATTACATTGCGACGGAAACCTTGGTCTATTTGTTGATTTTCAAGTGAATTCTATTTATAATAACGTTGGTAATTTTGTCGGTGTCATATAAAGTTTTGATGTTTGTTGCCTGCCTGTTTACTGTCCAATAATTCAATGCAAGGCTTGAGAAATTGCTGTAAGGGAAAGGGGTGACATTGTCCGGATAGGAGAGAGAGGAGAAAAACCGAAGAAGTTGCTAACAGGTACATGATTTTTTAGGAGGTCTAGATCTTAGTTATTATCTGCGCCCGTCGACTTGGAAAACATGTAGGTCCGCGTCTTGCTATGATGACCATTAATGAAGTTCAACAAATTTCCAGCGTTACTTCCAGCGCAGAGTTTATCTATAGTTCGGGCAAGCTGCCTTCTTTTTGTTGGCCTTTCTTGCTGTATCTTTCTACACTTTCTGTAGCTCGACGTATTCTTTGGCAGGGGAAGCATACTTGTTGAATTTCTTTCCGGCAGTTTTAAGCATATTCTTCTTGTAACAGTGCACCTATTCCGTGGTACTCTTCAGATAGATAATCACCCGTAGTTACTTTTACCGTATCAATACGTCTTAAACGCTGAAGATGTACACTGCATTCTAGAAAAAGCAATTATTAGAATTCTTACCAGTTAAGGCTTTCCGAATCTAATTTGTGCACCACTATAGTCGCGCCTAAAATTAAATACTTTTGGAAAAATGCCGTCCCTTGGAGTTACGGCCATGATACTCCTGTACCAATCCATTTTTTACTCTATAACATGTAATAATTTGTCATTTAAAAAAACTTTAATTAAAGAAATTTTCATTGTATTTCTTATTAGGGCAGTGTACATATTATATTGCTACTTGGAATACAGATTATATTAAGTCTGTGCGGATGCATGTAGCTTAAGATAGGCTCACCGTTCATTATATTGAGCGATTCAAAATCATTTCCTAAATCAATTGAGGTATGTCTGAGGTCCGCGATTACTGCGATATTTTGATGAATTTTGGTAAATTGGCGCGTTTTGGTCTTTTAAGAGTAGATTGGATAGAGCCACTCCCCACGTAACTACTTGTTCTGAAAAGACATGTTATAAACAAAATTGAAAGGTTTGGACCGCATGATCTAATTATTTGTTTGAATCACTTCCCACATAAAGCTTCTTATGAAAAATCTTTGTATGATATCATTTTCAATATTTTATGAAATTTGCTCCATAATAATTTTCACCACCGACTAGTCTACTTGATGGACTTATCAAAATTCAATGTCGAAACAAAAGGTGTTCACATCTTTGGTTCCTTTTCCATTGTAGCTCGAATCGCGGAACATAAACGTCGTACAATTGATTCTTATTTCAACCTACTTTCCATGTTTCTCTAGATTGGAGCTCCAATCATAATCTGCCCTCAAGATCGTCTAGACTAAGATGACATACTTTTAAATAGGTTGCTTATGGGTTAATATTTTAGTCTTCGAATTTATTTCTCTGGCAAAAAAATTAATAATAATAATAGTGAAGCAAACGTCGTTAACGTCAAAGACTATTAATGGCGGTCGTAAAGAGAAAATTTGGATTGTCTGAGATATTGGTACGCCTGGAAAAAAATACGCCGTCTTGATAGAAAAAGAATTAAAACGAAGAGGAGGTTGGTTAAGGTCTTAGAATCATGGAGATGGATAGGAAAAGATTTTCCCTTGATTTCGTAAGGATTAGAAATTGTGAACAAATCGTAGCTCTACTTAAAATTTACGTAAAAAGTGTTAAAACTTTACCAAGTAACTATTTATAAAACTTAAGTGTTGTGCAGTTCTTTTAAGGTCTAATCTCGATGTAGTTCTGATCCTGGCAGCGGTATTTGAACAAAAAAAAAACTAAAAGTTTATTGAAGAGTTGTTTGTGATGAGAGCGTTGATTACAACACATTGATGAATAAAATCCCGAATGTTAAAATGGTTGTTCTAAACTTTTTGAATTTGTTGCATTAACGTTACGTGCGTTAAAAAAAGGAATAAAAGTATGTTTGAACGGTTTTTATTTGTTTCGTTCCTTTGGTTTTGGTGGTCAAAAAGATGACTCGAAGAAACGGTGATGTGCGAAGCTACACATTATTTAATAAACCATATGAATACATAAACTTGCTAGCGAAAATTTAATAATGTAACAAATGTATGTTCGAAGAATTTAGAACTAAAGCTTCAAATTTAAAGACAATGTTAACAACAAATTTAACAATTTAATAATCATTCAATAATCATTTAAATCTAAGGTCGACTGTGAACGATGCTAACCATGAACGATGGACGATACGTTCAATCGAGAAAATTTAACGCAATGTTAACTACTACTGCCGAACTAGCTAGCTTTTCAATAACACGTGCGTCTATCCGTTTGCATCGTCCGACCTTTGGACATTTTTGACGCACTTAATTTTGTTTTCTCTCACCAGAGGGGTTAGACATACACACAAATTTCATATAATTATGCTATGAAAATGTGGCGCTCAAACCTGCTCAGATCAAGTAATCTTAAAATATACTTATGTTAACATGCTTAGATCAAGCATACGTAAAACATATATATTTAAAGCAGAAAATGTATACATATTTATATATAAAAAGCTACTAATTTTGAAATTACTTTTTATTATTCTTTTCCGGTAGAACCGCCAAAAGTAGACAGTTTTCGAAATTATAGTACTTAGCCATAATTGCTTGAAAAACGAAAAAACAAGCTACAGCTTATACTTTTGAAGAGTAGGCAAGAGTTGTTGCTGCGGCTCTTCTAAATAATTACGCGTTTAGTGACTAGTTCTAGAATAAATATATAAAGCCATCAAATATATCGCTTTGCAGTTGATAACGAATTTTTGCTTTATTTTCGAGTTAAAATTTTGTTAAGGCGATTCGCTTTTAGTTTTTAGGAAAATTTTTCTCATCCTCTCACTTATACTTGAGAACGCGAAGACCGAAGGGAGGAATGAAATACATACATACAAATAAATAAACTCTATTATTATTTAAAGAAACTTTTTTTGGGAAATGTTTTTCCTTTGATTTTTCTGTACCTATAAGATAAACAAAGTAGAATGTTTAAAACTATTTCGCACATTTCTCAAACGGAGGTATATTATCTGCCTAAAAATGTTTTAATTCTAAAATAAATATGGTGGACCTGACCTAGTGCATTCTTTTTTTCTTAACAGTGCCAGCAATATCGTAAATAAAAATAAAAGGACTTGGAGAGTAGAGTGGGATAAGCTAAGTGTGTTAATTCGAAATTAATTATGGCGGACTGTGTAGATTGATTCTTCTTAATAATACATTTTAATGAAGTAAGATGTCAAAGATTAATTTTGTCTTATTCATTTTTTTATGACAATAAATAAAAGCATTGGAAAAATTTTAATAGTGGGGGATATACGAAATTCGCCCTCAACCGAATATAACTTTCTTACCTGTTTTTTAATCAAAATATAAAGTGGATACGATAAGGTATACTTACGAAACACAAATGTATCGAAAATAGTGCGGCAGATCGGCTTTGAAAAAGCCTCTATTCAGGAATGTGTTGAGGAAGTTAGATCATTATAGTCGGAGCGATCAAAAACGAATCTTTAAAGAAGCTCTTATGTGATTCGTTATGTGACGTCAACAATAACTAGCATTAAATTTAGTATAAATTATTTTTTGACCAAGAATTTATTCATTATTCATTGTCTTCAGACTTCAAATTTATAACTTGTAGCCGCATGAAGGCTAATTTTTGATGAAAATCCCTAGTATGCTTTACCATCTTCTGGACAAGTTTTCACCGTAAAATATTAAAAAGTAACTTTTGAGGCCGTATAAAACCTTAAATTTTCTAAGAACATTTACGAGGGAGAAATTTTTCGCATTAATTTAATACTATTTCAGATCGATTCATCCAGGAATATTAAAAAGGAAAATATATATTCATAAGTATTAAGAATGCGAAATGCTAATGATTTTTCAAAATAATTTTTTATACGGGTGAGTTATCGTTCATTTCTAATAGCGTCCTTGAGACAAAACATGTCGATCTACCAAATTTGATGAAAATATTTCAAAAATCTCTCCCAATAATTTTGTCCATCAATAAATGCGTTCAGTCTTCAATTCGCAATGATAAATAAAATATTGACCTAACAGTGCATTCCTAGAGAATCTTTAAATGGTTTATTTTTAAAAATCAATCGCATTAGTTCGTCATAATATCATTATTGCGGGAATGGTGGACTGAAGGGAAAACATTGCAATTGCTTGCAAGGCAACATGCGTCCTATATGCGAAACTTCAGCTCCATCCACAATGGCGAATTAAAAAATAACAAATTTCTTTAAACCTACCGGTTATCTGGAAGATACGTACGTATAATCGAGAAGTAGCTTTACAAAATTTTTTTAGTTTC